TGTAAAAAAAAAGTGGTGGAAAACAGGACAGGATTAGTAATGGAACAGGATGTCCTCTAAAACTCACTGAACGAGATGACACAGTGATGATGTTAATGGAGTTAACTTATTCTGTTAACTTCACTTCAGCTGACAATATGCGTAGCATATCATTTCTTTTTAGCCAATACATATATCTACCTATCTATATCTTATTTACTTACTTAGGCGATCCCTAATTGGACGAGTAGGATAGTCTTCCATGATCAGTATTCTTGTGGATCCATAGGCGGCTGTGGAGCCCTATTCTTGACCTGCATCTTCTCCCACAGTGAGGGCATTGGTTTCCAGGTGGAAGGCGCTCTCAATTGGGGTTGGCTTGACGCGCCTTCCTCCTGGCACGTTTCTCTCTTTCACCTTCCATTTGTGCCTCTTCAAATTCTGCAGCACTGCTGATCACAGCTGACCTCCAGCTGGAGCGCTCAAGGGCCAGGGATTCCCAGTTCTTAGTGTCTATGCCAGAGATTTTAAGGTTGGCTTTGAGCCAACCTTAAAATCTATATCTATACCTATACCTATATCTACACACACACACAATAAAAGTGAAAAATGTGTATGTGGAGGAGGTGTCCACTTACACAGACAGCCTCCTGCCTCCACAAACAGGCTGCAGTTCCAAGTTCTGAGAAGCCTCCAAAGGCGTCATGAACATGTAACCCAAATGCTGCCAATGTCCTCCCCAAACACTACAGCCCACCACCAAAGGAATGCTTTCATTCAGGGAGAACTTCATCCTAGGTTTGATGTGTTTCCTCCATCACAGGCAGGCATCCCAGGGTTCCTTTTGTGGAATTTGCATGAACCTGCACACTGCCTCTTCCATAACCCTTCCTTAACCCTTTCCTATAGCACACAGCAAACACAAAGGAATTGATCAGCAACTGAATAGATTGGAGGGGTTTGGGGGACTGAGGCCAACTGTAAATGTCATCAGCTGGGGACCTCTCCCCCCAGCACCAACTGCTGCTCTGGACCACAGTGAAGAGAGAGGGGGCCAGGGGACAGTCCCATCTTGTCTCCTGTGCTATGCTAATAATATAATATAATGTAATATAATATATTGTATATACCTATAATATATATAATATTATAATGTAATACAATATAACACTACTACTAATAATAATGATATTATAATTATATATTTATATTACATGTAATATTACTAATAATATTACAATATAATGGTATAGTACAATATAGTAATAATACTGATATTATACTATGCTAATAATATAATGTATTGTATGCAAATATATCTTGTGAGCTGCTCTGAGTCCCCTTCGGGGTGAGAAGGGCAGCATATAAATGCCACAAATAAATAAATACTGCTAGGATTTGGGGGTGACTACCACTGGCATATGGGAGTGGTAGTTCACCCTTATTTAGAAGCACTGAACCCAGACGATGACAGATCTGGACCAAACTTGGCGCGCACACACACAACATGACCAACTGTGCACACAGGCCTGATTTGGGGAGGATTGACCCACGATTCTGGGAATTGTAGTTCACCCACATCATTATGTATTTTCTAATGGGAGCATTCATATACAATGAAATTGCATTCTGGCTTTTTCCTAATAAATAGTGTTACTAATTAACTAAATATTACCTAACACCCCAAAACAAACACTGTCTTTTTCAAATAACCCAGGCACCAGTGGGTACACAAGCTAGTAATAAATCAAGCCAACCAAAAATCCGGTATTTTATTATAGTAGACTCTCAGTTAATTTGAACTTAAGCAATTGAAATTCTTACGCAACCAGAAAAAATGGAAGAAACAATATTTTAAATTAAAAACACCCATTTTTATAATACAGCAAAACAGTTTGCTCACTACCTCTGAGGATGCTTGCCATAGATGCAGGGGAAACGTCAGGAGAGAATGCCTCTAGACCATGGCCATATAGCCCAAAAAAAACCTACAACAACCCAGTTTGTTTTTATTTGTTTAATTACTGTATTTCAATATTTATATCAAGTAAATACAGAGTGTATGGGGTACAGTATTCATAAGACCTATTTTAATACTCTCGACCAACCAGAAATTATGTGTTGTCGAAGGCTTTCATGGCTGGAATCACTGGCTTGTTGTGAGTTTTCCGGGGTGTGGTCATGTTCCAGAAGCATTCTCTCCTGATGTTTCACTAACATCTATGGCAGGTTGTGAGTTCTGTTGGAAACTAGGCAAGTGGGGTTTATATGTCTGTGGGTGGTATCTATGTCTCTGCAGTGTAGAAGGAAAGTTAGTAGTAGATGTGCTTTCCTGATCAGTAGTTTTTTCCATCTCCATTATCTTGGAGCAGTTTTTCTCCTGACATTTCACCCACATCTATGGCAGGCATCCTCAGAGGTTGTGAGGTCTGCTGGAAATTAGGCAAGTATGGCTAAGTTCCAGAAGTATACACTCCTGATGTTTGTCCACATCTATAGCAGGCTATCCAAAGATATATAAACCCCACTTGCCTATTTTCCAGCAGACCTCTCAACCCCTGAGGATGCCTGCCATAGATGTGGGCAAAATGTCAAAAGAGAATGCTTCTGGAACATGGCCATACAGCCTGGAAAACACACAGAACCGGAAATTACAGGGCCTTCTCAGCTGTGGCTCCCATCTCTCGTCCCCGCCAGACGCATTTGCGCTGTTGATGGGAGCAAGAGCAGGGCCTCCCCGGATGATCTTAGATTACAAGGTGGGATGTAGGGGTGGATGCGTTCGGACAAGTAAGCTGGGCCAGAATCGTATAGAGATTTATAGGTCAAAACCAGCACTTTGAATTGGGCTCGGAGATGGACCAGCAGCCAGTGGAGCTGGCATAACAGGGGGGTGGTATGCTCCCTGTATGTTGTCCCGGTTAGTAATCTGGCTGCTGCCCGTTGGAGCAGCTGAAGTTTCCAAACCCTTGTGCTGGCAGGACTGCTGACCAAAAGGTCAGCAATTTGAATCCAGGGAGGGGGTGAACTCCTGTCTGTCAGCTTCAGCTTCTCATGCGAGGACATCAGAGAAGCCTCCCATAGGATGGTAAAACATTTGGGCATCCCCTGGGCAACGTCCTTGCAGATGGTCAATTCTCTCACACCAGAAGTGACTTGCAGTTTCTCAAGTTGCTCCTGACGCACAAAAACAAAACTTCTGAATATTCCTTGCCTAAGACAATGGTATGAAATCCATGGGGTCACTCTGACCAAACATTAACCTTCATGGAAGGAGTAACAGAGATGATCAACCGTTCTAGAAGCGACTTGCATTTTCTCAAGTCGCTCCTGACACGCCAAAAAACAAAACCGTTCTACTGGGTTGTTGTAGGTTTTTTCGGGCTATATGGCCATGTTCTAGAGGCATTCTCTCCTGATTTCACCTGCATCTATGGCAAGCATCCTCAGAGGTTGTGAGGTCAGACCTCACAACCTCTGAGGATGCTTGCCATAGATGCAGGCGAAACGTCAGGAAAGAATGCCTCTAGAACAGTGTTTCTCAACCTGGGGGTTGGGACCCCTGAGGGGGTTGCGAAGGGGTGTCAGAGGGGTCGCCAAAGACCATAAGAAAACACAGTATTTTCTGATGGTCATGGGGATTCCATGTGGGAAGTTGAGCCAATTCTATCGTTGGTGGAGTTCAGAATGTTCTTTGATTTAGATGAACTATAAATCCCAGCAACTACAACTCCCAAATGTCAAGATCTATTTTCCCCAGACTCCACCAGTGTTCACATTTGGGCATATTGAGTATTTGTGCCAAGTTTGGTCCAGATCCACTATTGCATGAGTCCACAGTGCTCTCTGGATATAGGTGAACTACAACTCCCAAACTCAAGGTCAATGCCCATCAAACCCTTCCAGTGTTTTCCATTGGTCATGGGAGCCAAGTTTGGTTCAAATCCATCGCTGGTGGAGTTTAGAATGCTCTTTGATTATAAGTGAACTATAAATCCCAGCAACTACAACTCCCAAATTACAAAATCAATCCTCCCCCAACCCCACTAGCATTCACATTTGGGCGTATTGGGTATTTGTGCCCAGTTTGGTCCAGTGAATGAAAATGCATCCTGCATATCAGATATTTACATTACGATTTATAACAGTAGTAAAATGACAGGTATCAAGTAGCAATGAAAACAATATTATGGTTGGGGGTCACCACAACATATGGGACTGGATTAAGGGGTCACAGCATTAGGAAGGTTGAGAATCACTGCTCTAGAACATGGCCATATAGCCCAAAAAAACCTACAACCAGTGATTCCAGCTATGAAAGCCTTCGACAATACATAAAACTGTTCTAGCTTGATTCCCTGCAATATCTATGTATTCACCTTGACAGTTTAACTGCATCCATATGGATTTGTATGTCTGTCAACTGGTTCCCAGCTGAATTGATTTTTAACACCTCTAGAGATGCATCTACACGGTATACTTAATGTGGTTTGATACCACTGTAACTGCCATGGCTGAAAGCTATGGAATCCTGGGAGTTGTAGTTTATTACAAGGCCTTCTGTGTCAAACTACAAGTCCCAGGATTCTTTATGGACACCAAAAGTGGTGTCAAACTGTATTAATTCTACTGTGTGTAGAATATACATCGGGAGAAAAGCACAGTGAACGTTCCAGGAAGTCACCGTTAAAAAAGCCTGGACAGGAAAGAGTTTTAATTAACTTTCTTCCTGCGAGGCGTGGGGCTGGTTCAATCTTTGGCGCCTGCAGTCAAGCGGAGAGCCCCGTTACAACGAAGCGGGGCAAGAAGGCAGCTCTTGGCCTTATTGGGGAGGCTTTCCCTTTGGAGGGAAACAACGCCCGCAAAAGACTCTTCCTTCCTCCCTCCCCACCCACTCCTAAAAAGAGAGTGAGACATAGACACACACACAAACCCAGTCCCGCCTCTCTGGAGCCTTAGGGGCGGAGCCGCGATTCTCACTCCGATTGGCCCGAGCCGCTGCCAATCGGGGGAGGCGAGGTGGGCGTGGCCACGCGCGAGCCGGGTCCGCTCTTTCGAAGCGTAGAGAGAGAGAGAGAGCAAAAACGAGCCCTCAGCCGGAGCTTCTTCCCTTTCCCTTCTCGCTCTCTCTCTCTCTCTCAGAGCGTGAGGCGTCTTTCCTTCTTTCTTCCTTCAAGCCCCTTTCTCAACGGCGGAGCGTGCCATGGAGGAGGAGCGGGCGGGGGAGCAGATGAGACCGCTACTCACGACGGTAAATGGAGAAGTTGTGTGGCGACAAAGAAGGAAGGAAGGAAGGAAGGGAGACCCCCCCCCCCGCGCGCTTCGTATTTGAGCCGTTCGCCTGAGCTGCTTGGAAAGGGGAGGGGGGCAGAGTGCTCTCCTTTGTGTGGGCGGGGCTAGGCGGGTCTCGCGCTGAGTAAGGAGGCGACACAAAGGGAGGAGGAGGCGCCCCTTCTCGGCCCTGTTCCTCACAGGTGTCAGTGCTGAGAGGTCAATGAAGGGATGTCTCCTTCCTCCTCAGTGGCCCCTTTTATTTATTTCCTTCCCTTCCAATTCTTGTAGTGGGCTCCGAGGTCAATGAAGGGCTCTCCCCTTCCTCCCTCCCTCCTCAGTGGTCCCTTTTACTTCCCTACCTTCCAATTCTTGTAGTGGGCTCAGGGGTCAGTGAAGGGCTCTCCCCTTCCTCCTCAGTGGCCCCTTTTATTTCCCTCACTTCCAGTGCTGGGAGTGGGCTCTGAGGTCAGTGAAGGGCTCTCCCCTTCCTCCTCAGTGGCCCCTTTTATTTACTTCCCTATCTTCCACTGCTTGGAGTAGGCTCTGATATCAATGAAGGGCTCTCCCCTTCCTCTTCCTCAGTGGCCCCTTTTATTTATTTCCTTCCCGGTCCAATTCTTGTAGTGGGCTTTGAGGTTAATGAAGGGCTCTCCTTCCTTCTCAGTGGTCCCTTTTATTTATTTCCCTCCCTTCCAATTCTTGTAGTGGGCTCTGGGGTCAATGAAGGGCTCTCCCCTTCCTCCTCAGTGGCCCCTTTTATTTACTTCCCCCCTTCCACTGCTGGGAGTGGGCTCTGAGATAATTAAGGGATTTCCCCTTTCACCTCAGTGGCCCCTTTTATTTCCTTTCCTTCCAATTCTTGTAGTGGGCTCTGGGGTCAATGAAGGGCTCTCCCCTTCCTCTTCAGTAGCCCCTTTTATTTACTTTCCTCTCTTCCACTACTGGGAGTGGGCTCTGAGGTTAATGAAGGGATTTTCCCTTTCTCATCAGTGGCCCCTATTATTTACTTCCCTCCCCTCCACTGCTGGGAGTGGGCTCTGGGGTCAATGAAGGGCTCTCCCCTTCCTTCTCAGTGACCCCTTTTATTTATTTCCCTCCCTTACAATTCTTGTAGTGGGCTTTGAGGTCAATGAAGGGCTCTTTCCTTCCTCCTCAGTAGCCCCTTTTATTTACTTCCCCCCTTCCACTGCTGGGAGTGGGCTCTGAGATCAATATAGGGATTTCCCCTTTCTCCTCAGTGGCCCCTTTTATTTCCTTCCCTTCCAATTCTTGTAGTGGGCTCTGAGGTCAATGAAGGGCTCTTTCCTTCCTTCTCAGTGGTCCCTTTTATTTATTTCCCTCCCTTCCAATTCTTGTAGTGGGCTCTGGGGTCAATGAAGGGCTCTCCCCTTCCTCCTCAGTGGCCCCTTTTATTTACTTCCCCCCTTCCACTGCTGGGAGTGGGCTCTAAGGTCAATGAAGGGATGTCCCCTTTCTCCTCAGTGGCCCCTTTTATTTCCTTCCCTTCCAATTCTTGTAGTGGGCTCTGGGGTCAATGAAGGGCTCTCCCCTTCCTCCTCAGTGGCCCCTTCTATTTACTTCCTTCCCTTCCACTGCTGGGAGTGGGCTTTGAGGTCAATGAAGGGCTCTCCCCTTCCTCCTCAGTAGCCCCTTTTATTTACTTCCCCCCTTCCACTGCTGGGAGTGGGCTTTGAGGTCAATGAAAGGCTCTTTCCTTCCTCCTCAGTGGCCCCTTTTATTTACTTCCCCCCTTCCACTGCTGGGAGTGGGCTCTGAGATCAATATAGGGATTTCCCCTTTCTTCTCAGTGGCCCCTTTTATTTCCCTCCCTTCCAATTCTTGCAGTGGGCTCTGAGGTCAATGAAGGGTTCTCCCCTTCCTCCTCGGTGGCCCCTTTTATTTCCCTTCCTTCCAGTGCTGGGAGTGGGCTCTGAGGTTAAAGAAGGACTTTCTTTTCATCCTCACTGGTTCCTTTTACTTATTTCCCTACCTTCCAGTCCTGGGAGTGGGCTCTGATTCATGCCTGATGACACACTTTTTGAAGAGGTGCAGCATTTCACGACACTGCTATTTGGTTATACTAGCAAACCAGTGCTTTATAAGAGGTATGGACACATCCATACACGGTACTGATGAAATGAAAAGGGGTGCAACATATCTCATGAAAAAGATTCCTTGATATTTATTTATTATTTACTATATTTTTACCCCACTCTATCTCAACCTCAAAGGGAACTCATTGCGGCCTCTAAATATTCAAATAAAATATATATTATACATTAAAATCAATGCTATGGGGGCCCCTAGTATCACAACGGGTTAAACCCTTGTGCCCACAGGACTGAAAACCGACAGATCAGAGGTTCTAATCTGGGGAGAGCACAGATGAGTTCCCTCTGTCAGCTCCAGCTCCCTATGCAGGGACATGAGAGAAGCCTCCCACAAGGATGGTAAAACATTAAGGACATCTGGGCGTCAATAGAAATCATTAAAAGCATAACATATCAATACATTAAATTTGTTAAAAAAACAAAGACCTGAAATTGTAGTCCAGGAGCCATTCAATCATGTTGTAATCACTTCATAGCTGTGTATTGCACTGTACTCCAAACGCTTGGTTCCATAGCTAGGTTTTAACTTTCTTTCTAAAGGACAGGTGGGAGGGAGCTGATCATATTTCACTGGGAAGGAAGTTCCACAGCTGAGGGACCACCACTGAGAAGGTCCTGTCTCTCGTCTCCACCAGCCACACCTGTGAAGGGGGTGGGACCGAGAGCAGGGCCTCCCCAGAAGATCTTAGCATTCCGGCTGGTTCACAGGGGGAGATAACATTCAGACAGGTATATATTTATTAATATGTGATTTGTAAGATGTACAAATCACATATTAATCACAAATGTAGATGCACTCTGTACATTTGTAATTGATGAGTAACTGTAAATATGTGAGTTAAAAATACACATTTGCCCAACACGCCTGCAAAAGGGCTGATTCTCTCTAGTGTCTTGTGGCATATGGTTTGGAAATCTTAAAGCAAAGGGTGGTAGTAGAAATCTTAAAGCAAAGTAGTAGTGATAATAGTACAGGTTGAGCATCCCTTATTCAAAATGCTTGGCAGCAGAAATGTTTGGGTTTTTCCCCCCCAGATTTTGGAATACCTGCATATAGGTATCCTAGAGTGCATCTACATTTGTGGAATTAATGCAGTTTAATTATCATGGCTCAATGATAAAGGATCATGGGATTTTAACATCCTTTAAGTGTTTGGGGGTGCATTTGTGCAATTAATGCCATTTACAGGTAATAATCCTAATAATTATCCCTTATCCAAAATACTTGGAACCAGAAGTCCCCTTATTTTGAGATTCCCACTTGTAAGCTATGAGGTATCTTAGAGTTCATCTACATCATTTATTGCCAAACTCTAGTCCTCCAGGTGTTTTGGATTTTAACTCCTGGAAAGCTCTGCTGCCTTGACCAGTGATCAGGAAACCTGGGAGCCGAAGTCCAAAACACCTGGCAAACCAAAGTTTGGGAAACACTCATATACACTGTAGATTAAGTAATGCAGTTTGACAACACTTTCACTACAATGACTCAGTTAATATAGAACAGTGAGATTAGTAGTTTGGCAGAGAAGATTAAATGTAACCCGATAAAAATACAACTCTTATTATTTGATAACATTGAACTATGGCTGTTCAAGTGGTGTCAAAACAATATCAATTCTACAATGTAGATGCACACTTAGAGCTCGGGTCTAAGTCTAAATACTGAATCCATTTATGTTTCATGTATATCTTCTGAAACACACATTCTGAAAATAAATGTATATAATACTTTCAGTTATTTTGTGCCCAAAGCAAAGTTTGCATACTTTAAATGATCAGAAAGCAAAGGTATTACTGTTTCAGCCACCCATGTGGATAGTTTTGGCTTTTGGAGTACTCTATATAAGTCAAAATATTGAATCCATTTTGATTCCATATACATACATCTTTCACACACATAGCTTGAAGGTAATTTTATACTTAACATTTTAAATTATTTTGGTCATTAAACAGTTAGTGAACTCTGAACAATAAGAAAACAAAGGTATTGTCATTTCAGCCATCCATGTGGAGTTTTGGATTTTTGAATTGATACATATCTTATGCACACATCCTGAAGGTAGATTTATACAAAGTTTTTACTTATTTTATATGTTTAACAGAGTTTGTGTATTCTTGAACCACCAGAAAGCAAAGTTGTCACTTTCAGCTGCCCGTGTGAACAGTTTGGGATTTTGAAGTATTTCAGATAAGGGATGCTCAATGTGTACCAGCAAAATTGAGGTTCATGTTGTTGTTTTAAAGTATGCTCATTTATAGGAATTCAGCTCCATCAAATGCAGCACAAGCCTGGCAACTTACTTTGTTGTTTCTATGTTGTGAAATGTAACTGAATATAATTAGTATTGAAATTAGTGTAAAGATTTGTGAAAGAGCTGTGTGAGGCTCAACATCTTTGTATTTTTTTAAAAAAAATTCAGCACTTCAAAATACATGACAATATGGAAAAAAGTGTTTTCATCACAAGCTTGTGAAACAGATGCCACCCGTTGAGGGAAGGGCCAGAGAGGAAGGTGTTCTTTGCTTTGATTCTTTACCCTCCCCTGGTCTGAATTTTTCTTCTTGTCAGCACCTTCTGTAATCCCCCAGTTGCTCACTGTGTCCGTATCTGTCTGTCTGCTTTCCTGCCCGCTTCCAAAAAGGGCTCCTGCTGTAGTAGCTCATGGCTTTTGTTCCTCTTGATAAGGTGAGGGCAAGGCAGACGGGGAGCTTGAGCTCTTTTGTTCTGAGTCTGGCTGCTGCCTGCTTCTCCCTTCCCTTCCTCTTGTGGATTCCCCCCACCTCTTGACTCCCACTCTGGCCCGAACATGCTCTCTTCATGCACTCCAGTACACACTGTGAAATGTCAAACAGGGTAAAAGGTATA